ATTGGTCTTGATCAATTTTAAAAAATTATTAGTTTTAAAGATTAAATTTTTTTAAATATTATTATTATATTCAATTTTTTAACTAAAGTTACTTATTAAAATAAGCTTAAATTTCTTTTTAAAATTTAAAATATCTTTAAAATTTTAGATCAGAACCTAGATTCTAGGACTAGATTCTAAATTAAATATATTTATTATTTTTAAAGAATTTTTTATTTTAAATTAATAAAATAATTGATATATAATAATTATTAAAAAATTAATTTATTATAAAAAAATTAATTAATAAAATATAAATTAAAATTATTTTAAATTCTTTAAGATTAATTATAACTTATTAGGACTTTTATCAACTCTACTTATAGATTAAGCAGTTGCTAGATTTCGTTTTTTAAATAATCCCAATGTTTTTTCTATTCAAAATAATAATTTAACTATAAATGCAAATATTTTAATTATAGAAAATTTATTTTTATCTTTTAACTATATAAATACTTTAAACTAATATAGAATTAGTTTATCTAACAAATGTAATTTAGAATATTATATTGAAAGTTTTTATATATTTATTTCTTCTCCTTTACAATCTCATATTAGTTCTACTTTTATTTTAGTGCATGACTCTTTAGATATTAGTTTCTCTACTGCTTTACTTCTTATTTGAACTAACTTTATTAATACTAAGATATTTGCATTTTTTATAACTCTTTTTATTTTTCCCTTTAGCTCAACGATTATATTAACACAGATAGATTTTTTTAATATTTTTCATACAATAGACTTCTTTCAACTAATGTCATAAATTATCTATCCTTGTTATTCAAAACACCTTTTTATATTTTATTAGTATTTCATTTTTAAATTATTAGAACAAAAACAAATTTTTCTTAATTTGATCAAAGTCAAAGTTCACACTGAAAAATCCATTTAATAAAAAGTAGATAAATTAGCTAAATAATTATTAATTGATACTTTTATACTTTTATTCTTCAAATACATTACTAATATTTCTTTTATTTCTACCTTTCAAGCTATGCCTATCAACAAAGAAATTAGACACTTTTTTAAAGATTATACATATATCAAAAATTTTACAGACTTTTATAATTTGCAAAGAAATAAAGATACAAAACAAATTGATTAACTGATGCTGCACTTTCAATTTAATCAACAGTAGCTCATCATCTCAAACTTTTTTTAAAAAGTTATACAAATACAAAAAAAATACCAGTTCCTTATAGAAGAACTCTTAACTATTGAATTCTTTAAAATCACATAATCTAACCTTTATGATAATGACTGAAAATGCTATGGTTAATATAAAATGAAACTTTTGCTCATATTTGATTTTGTGCAAAAAGTTTATATATTATCAATGTTATTATAATCAATGCTTTACAAACATTAAAAAATCAACTTTTTATTCAACTTCTAATGATAAATAATCTAATAATTTGCTATTAATTTGGGATTTTCTTCACAAATACTGACTTTTTATACCTTTTTATTATATATTTTTCTTCTTCATTAATATTATTAAGGGTATTATCTATCACATTTTTCTGAATTATCAACAATTTTATTAAAAATCTTAAAAACATATTTGCTATTCTATCTTCTTTCTATGATTTATCTTTAATCAAACTTTAAGTTAATTTGAAAAGTTAGATACGAAACTACTATCAAGATAAAACTCATCAATAATATTACTAAGCAGGATAAACTTCATAAGTCAAAATTTTATCAGCAATAAATTAGCCTATCTTTTTTTACTATAGACAATAATGACCACATAAATTTACTTTTTAATTTTTTTATTTATAATTGATCTTGGCCTCTTTTTAACATAGTAAAAACTATTTGTCATTTTCATTCTATGTTTATTATATATTATCATATATTGATTTTTCTTCACTTAATGATTGATTAAGGTGATTAAGGATGTGATGAGATAACTGGTTGGTTTAGTTGGAGTTGGTTAAAACCCTTTGAAGAAAGCTAAGCAACATTTACTTTATTTTCTACTTTGTACTTGTCTTTTGATTTTTCTTTTACTTTATTCTTGAAAAATAATTTTTAATAAATAAATACTTCAATGTGTCTTAAAAAATATATATTAAGTTAATATAATATAAAATTTTAATCAACTAAAGTTTATATGTTAATTAATATAAATCAAAAAATTTAATTTTGAAAAAAATGTCTCAGAATCCTATTTTTTTAGCAAATCTTCTATATGATTACTTTCTTTCAATATATGCTTCAGACTTAATAATAATTTCTGAGACTATTTCTTAATAATAATAATAAAAGATTTTTAACGTGTCAAATATCATATGCTAAAATTTTATTAGTAAATATTTAATCATGTTATTTCAAATTCTTTCAAAATATGCATCACAATTCATTAAATTTTTTTAAAATATTTGCAGGAAATTGATAATAAGATTAATATCATTTTATTGCAAAAATATGTTTAGGATCTTATGCTAATAACAAATTTTCTATTTTAGTAATGAAAATAATAAATTTAATGCTTTACCATTTATCTTTAAGATATAATTCTTTTTTATTATAATTGTTTTATTATTAATATAATAATTGCTAAAAAAATAAACATTTTGAGTACTATCAGAATTGTCATGCATATTATAATTTATTTTTTATTTGTCAAGTACTTACATTATCTGAATTCTATGAATAAGAATTCTAATAAGATTTGAAATATGCAATAACTGATAAATAAGAAAATAAATACTCCAGTAATTGGACGATTTAATGCTCAAATTTAATTGGTCGATTATTAAATATGGCTTAAAATTTGTCTTCAAAACGTGTTCTTCCTATGTTATGCAAAGCTCTAAATAGCGAAATTTTAAAATTACACGGCATATAACGAATCAAACATTTTGTAAATTTCACAAAGCCACCTTTGAATAAAAGCCTTTATTTTATTACTTTCCTAATATTATAAGTCAAGACCTATTCCTTGCGGCATCACTAGATTCCAACCTTTTTAGATGTCAATTATTTTGTAAATATAAATGTACAAGAAGCCCGGAAGTTCCACAGTCCAAATATACTGTTAAATCCCGTTAATTTATCAGATTTTTTTGGTTTACCTTTAATAAAAAAAACTGATGCTAATTTTGCATGGGGCAGTCAAGTTCGATCAAAAATGCAAAATTTTTTTTTTTTCAGTTTTAATATACACCGGGAAAGAAAAGGAATGAAATGAGTTATATTCATTTTTGTTATTTTAACCGATAATCAAAATCTTTACAATCAGAGATATGCAGAATGATGCACACTTTAATAATGGTTTGATTTTTTATAGAAACGAGTGAAAGTTAATAAATAAAACCGCAATAAGAGAGTTTACAAAGAAATATGCAAGATAAAAAAAAAAATTCTCACAATTTAAATGAGCACATGGCGCTTTTAAAAAAACCCATTTTTTTAGTTTCAGTTTCCTGCCTTTCGACAATTATTCCGAACAAAGATTTTTTTGAAACATAACCATTTTTCAACATGACGCGCTACCTCATCTATATAGCAATTATAAATACAAAGCATTGAGAAATTATAATAAAACTAAATCATAAGCGAGATTATCCGGAATAAACAAGTAATGTTTTTGCTCAAGTATACGGATGGTACGCATAATTTCACATGGTTTTGAGTATAATAACGCCACCGGTTCTAATTGTAGAATAAAGTTTAACCCAAAAGTAGAGCTTTTGAAAGACAAATGCAATAAAAAAATTTTTCTTATGCAACAGGACTCCTTATCACAATGAAATAGGAATCCCCCTTTGTTAGAAAAGTAAAATGAATTTTTTTTTTAGAAATGAATGAATGAGTTGTATCATAAAATTCTCATACAATTTAATTTGGTGTATGGCGTTATGACGGTTGATTCTTTTTTTTTTAATATATAAATGACCTTCTCAGGATCTATAATTCTTATACCCTTTTCATTTATTTCATCATGTGATCTTTCTATTGACCAAAGAATACAAATACAAATATTAATTATTATTAACAAATCCACCCTTTTATACCTTGAGATCGAAATTAAAATAAATATTTTTAATATGTAACCCTTTTATATTTCGAGATCGAAATTAAAATAAATATTTTTAATATGTCGATTCGTTGCAAAACTTGTAAAGAATGGATATCTGATATTGCAAAAGATCCTTACGCCAAATCCGAGTGGTTGATTTATTAAGACTTTTAATGCATTATGGGAGTCAAGATTTAGAACTGGTCGAACAAAAATCAAATACAATGTAATACAACCCGACACAATAAAAATTAGAAATTCTTGGACAAGCGATTTGCCATTTACCGTATTTAGTTTGATTTTACAACAAGGAGCTGGTCAAGTTCTCCGATTTTGGAAGGAAGAGCAAGAGCATTCAGTTTTAACGTTGTTTCGATCTATAATGAACCTAAAAAAGGAAAGAAAAGAACAAAGCGTAATCAAAAAAATAATCTTTGATTACATAAAATGAGGACAACAAAAAAAATATCAATAAGGATGTTAATTGTTTTAGGATTTTCTTAATATCCTATAATATTATAAGGATATAGATAGTTAAACCCGTAAACGAATCACCCTATCCTTTTTTTCATGATAAAATCTATTAAACATAATTTTTATATAGATGTTTTTTCAAAATCATAAATATTATATCTGTAATTTTGTATAAACTCCATAGATTTTAATGATTTCAAAGAAAAAAATGAAAAATTTTCTAGTTGACTTACGATTGATTGTGAATTTTCAAGATTCATCTTTTCACCGCTAGTACATTTATTATTTAAAGATTAATAATAAATTTAATTATTAATAAAACCAAATAATAAACAATACGAAATGATATCAAAAAAATAAATTTGTTACAAATGTACCTTTACACATTTTACAATGATATAATGAAATGTTTGAGTTCATTATGAAATTTGCAATTTAATTATTAAACAATGACGTCTTATTTAGCCATAAGCGCAGCACAATTCCTACATAAACATAATAAAGCTAAACGACATATGATATCGTGTTCTTGAGCTCTGTTGTTGGTTCTATATAACGTCGTGAAATAATAATGTTGGATATGTTAGCTTGTTAGCTTCGGTTCTAATTATATAGTGTTCTCGCTGGGTCGATTATAGGTTGTAAATTTTACTTTAAAAGATGAAAAGATGAATAGTTTAAAAGAAAGTAACTAACTTGTATTGTTCTTTTTGTTGATGGATCCGTAAATTAAGAAACGCATGAACTATTAACTATTTATAATGCAATTATTGTGACTTAATGCAGTTTTTTTTTTTGTGAAGATAAAGAATAAAGTTTCTCGTTAATATAAACACTTTATTGTAAACTTACTTTAGATACATCAACCAGAAGACAGGATTCTGGAAAGGTTGCTTATTTACCAAAACTTCAAGGCGAAAGTCTTGTAAATTCATTT